ATTTAGAGAAATTTGTCCTGGTCTACTTAGATGACATTCTGATCTATAGTACCAGCATGGATGACCACATGAAGCACTTGAAGACAGTACTGGCTATACTAAAAAAGCACAAGCTATATGCACAACTTCCTAAGTGTGAATTCCTCACCAGATCAGTTGAATACCTTGGTCACATAATCTCAGATAAAGGACTACACATGATAGAGTATCCAGAAATGGGAAGCCCAAAGTCACTCACTGAAATGAGATCTTATGAGATCAATATGTGACCAAGGTATTCAACTGATCTGGTGAGGAATCACACTTAGGAAGTTGTGCATATAGCTTGTGCTTTTTTAGTATAGCCAGTACTGTCTTCAAGTGCTTCATGTGGTCATCCATGCTGGTACTATAGATCAGAATGTCATCTAAGTAGACCAGGACAAATTTCTCTAAATATGGTTCCAGGATGCTATTCATGAGTGTCTGAAATGTTGCTGGGGCATTAGTCAGGCCAAAGCTCATCACAACAAACTCATAATGACCATATCTTGTGTTGAATGCTGTCTTAGAGGTGTCTTCAGGCTTAATTCTGATTTGGTGATATCCAGATGCCAGGTCTATTTTAGAGAATATCTTTGCCTTCCCCAGTTGGTCAAAGAGGGCATCAATTCTTGGTAATGGGTAGGAATTTCTGACAGTGATTGCATTTAGGGCCCTGTAGTCCACACAGAACCGTAGCTTCCCATCCTTCTTTGGAGCAAAGAGTACTGGAGCTCCCCATGGTGATTTACTGGGTTTTATCCAGCCTTTAGCCAGGTAGTCCTTCAATGTTTCCTTCAAAGTCTCCATTTCCTTTGGGGAGAACTTATATGGGGCTCTGTTTCTTGGTTTATCATCTGTTACTTCTATGGCATGGTCAATCTCTCTGCTTGGGGGTAGTGCAGGGATTTCCTTGGGAAAAACCTCTTGAAACTCTGCTAACAAGGTCTTGAGCCTGTCATTTGTCACTTCTGTGGTCTCTTGGATTTTGGCAAAGGCTATCATGTGCAACAGTTTGGGATTCTGTCTGATAGAGTGGGCAAACTGTTTCTTTGATATGGTGTGTTCTGGTGCATTGCCTTTGTCCAGGGTTGGTTTGGGTGACAGATGATATTTTGCATCATCCTTGTTGATTACAACTTCCTGAGTCTGCCAGTTTATGTCAGGATTGTGCTTTCTTAGCCAAGTTTGTCCCACATTGATTTCAAAGTTGGCTTGGGGTATGATAATTGGGGAAATGGTGTCTTGGAAGTCCCTGATTTGTAAAGTCAAGGGTTCAGTCCTGCTGTTCACTATAATTGATTCCTTGGTGGCACAGAGGATGTGAATTGGGGGGCAAGGGATTGTTTGTAGCTTCATCTGATCAGCTACATCTTTTGAAATGTAGACATCAGTTGCTCCACTGTCAATGAGTACAGAGACACATTGGTTGTTGTTGAGAATCCCTGGGAGTTTCAGCATCTTTGGGGTAGTATATAAGCTCTGAGTCCTCTGATACTCCTTAACAAGGCTGATTGTGTGCTCCTCCTCCTTAGTGGAGAGTTGGAATACTCTTTGTAATGGCCTCTTTGGGCATTCATTGACTTTATGACCCTGTTCCTTGCAGTAAAAGCATAGTCCAAGCTTGAAGCATTCCTCTTTAGAAGGTCTTGGTGTGCTCTGCATAACATCTAGGTCCATAGGCTCCAGTGTGTGGGGGTAGTGTGCACCTTGTTCAGTGATTGGTTGACTACCAATAGGTATGTGGTTATTGGCTTTGAGGCCTGTAGTAGTTCTTGAGTGACCAATTCTGTGGTTGACAGCCCTTCTGAAGTGTATGGCATCATATCTTTCTGCCAGTTCCATAGCCTCTACTAGGGTTTTGGGGTCTTTGTATTCAATTTCCCATCTAGTGTTGGATTTCAGGCCTCTTAGGTATTGCTCAAGTAGTTCAGTATCAGGCATGTTTTGAATTTCCATACTAAGCAAGTTAAACTGCTCATTGTACTCTTGAACAGACTTGGCTTGAAAGAGTTTGGACAGTTTTTCTCTTGCCATTCTATCAGCATTGATAGGTGTAAACCTCTTTCTCAATGCTTTAACAAAGTCAGCCCAGGAGGCTATGGGTGGAAAGATGCCCCTATTCATTCCTTGAATGTGAAGTTTCCACCACATGGTTGCTTCCTTTCTGAAAAGTGAACAGGCATAATGTACTTTGACTTCTTCAGAGTCATCTGAGAAGTATAGGTACTGCTCTACTTCAAATATCCAAGTCTCTAGAGTGGCAGTGTGTCTTTTGCCTTCAAAGATGTTGGGTTTCTGAAGTTTCAGATTTGTTGCTCTATATTGTTTTGTGAAGTCCAGAGAGCCTTGCCCATCTTCTCCAAGATTCAAGGAATTGGGAGGCACCGCAGGTCTTACAGATGAGGCTTCACCCTCTCTCTGTATACCTTGACCAGTAAACCATGATCTCTGGGTGTTCACAAAATGTAAAGAGTCCAAGTCTGTCTGCCTACCCATTCTTGGGTCCAGACTAGGGAGGGCCGCAGGCTCAGTTGTGTGGGACTGTCCTTGACCGGCTAACTCAGCAACTTGTTGTTCAAGACTCTCAATATAGGCCAACATTTCTTCTGAAGAGCTAAATTTTGGCTTTTCTTCACTCATTTTGTTTTTGGGTATTGTTTGATTTGCGGTAGGCGGGTGTGTTTACCAAGGGGGCTGGTTCTCTGGCAGAATTGACTGGGTACTGTTTTTTTTCTTTTTTTGAGTGAAACGGAGGGTTTCTCTGGGAGGTTGGGAGGGTCTCGGGCAGGTACGGAGGGTATCTCTGGACAATTGGAAGAATATCTGGGAGATCGGAAGAGTTTCTGGGAGATCGGAAGAGTTTCTGGGAGATCGGAAGAGTTTCTGAGAGATTGGAAAAGTTTCTGGGAGATCGGAAGAGTTTCTGAGAGATTGGAAAAGTTTCTGGGAGATCGGAAGAGTTTCTGAGAGATTGGAAAAGTTTCTGGGAGGTACGGAGGTTTTTGTTTTTTGGAGATCGGAGGTTCGCTGCTACCAATGTTATGAATCGAGGGCAAGCGGAGGAGGACCGGAGGATGTCCAATACGAATCAGAGAGGTTATCTGAATAGTTGATGAACCGGTAAAAGGTTGATGCTTTATTGATAGTGTTCAAAGGAGTTTATATAGAGATAGCCTCGGAGGGAGAGCTTCCGATAACGTAGGGCAAGCTTCCAAAAGGAGGGTTCAAGATGTATTAAATAACGTGTGTATCACTGAGTGCGATTGATCGTCTGTGTGGAATTCCAGGTGTTCGATCAGTAGTGTTCAAGTGATCGGTAGTGACTAGTTAGGATTTAAATCATAACATTGATATATCAGACAATATGGCCGAGTGGTTAAGGCGTATGACTAGAAATCATATGGGCTCTGCCCGCGCAGGTTCAAATCCTGCTGTTGTCGTATATGCTCGCATAGCTCAGTTGGTTAGAGCGTGGTGCTAATAACGCCAAGGTCGCAGGTTCGACCCCTGCTGTGAGCATTTTTACCTTTTTCTGTGTGCAGTATTTAGTTGGAGTAGGGGGCAGGGTGTTGAATGGAAGTCGGATGGTCACTTGTATGGTACTTTATTCATGAGTAAATCCATTTTAGCGCTTATTTGTCAATCAGTGCTCAAAGTAGAAATTGTGATTTTTATTGAATTCAATCTAATCAATGTACAATCAAAGGCCAACAACGTTGCAGCAATATACCCATTTTATTGTGTAGTAAATATCGTGTGTATGTTTTTACTGAGTCAGAAGATATACACTGTGCAGCTGGGGGAAATTGACACACATCATAGATGGGTGGGAGAGGGGAAAATGTATTTTCATACGTAGGCTAATTGTTCAAATTGTTTTTGCCAGCCCGATAGCCTCCCTAATATGCTTTACCAAGTATTAAATAGTGTGCGTTATAAATTAAATATTTCACTTGATAGATATCTTCTCAGATAGTATAGTGGTAAGTATCCCCGCCTGTCACGCGGGAGACCCGGGTTCAATTCCCGGTCTGAGAGTTTTCTTTTGGCTATTTGGATGATGGGATTAATTGAAGGTTGGGTTTGATGATACGTGATGGTGTGGGCAATGGCCTTTTTATGAAAGAACATAACAGCTAGTAGACATCACAATGCTATCGAGTGAATAATCAAATAAACTATTGTATTGCAGAGGATATGCACTGATTGCAGCCATCATGTCTAGAGCTTATCATGCCATGAAACTTACAAAAGTAAGTTTGAGTATTAGTATTCCGAGTAACATGGAACATAAAAAATTGTTGTACGAGCATACCAGGGATCGAACCTGGAATCTCCTGATCCGTAGTCAGGCGCCTTATCCATTTGGCCATACGCCCATGTACAGTCATATTGGAGGTCGGATCATTAACAATTGTACATACATCTAAACATGTGCTAGCAACAAGAAAGATCTATAGTTTGTCGCTGATCCTCTCTTGTGATCACAAAATAATTTCATCTCGAGTCACTCGTACTACACCAACTTACAAAAAGTTACTGAATGTGAACTTCCGCATCGGGGAATCGAACCCCGGCCTTCTCGGTGAGAGCGAGAGATCCTGACCACTGGACCAATGCGGATATTCTTGAACCAGGGAAGATTTATGCGTCCATGGATGGACATGTAACTGAACTGTTGTATTTCATTCGGCCAAGTATAGTTGTTATACTTTGGAGGTGTATTTGCGGCAGTCATGCAAAGCTCACCGTAGCTACACAATAGAGTCACATGTGATACGCTACTGCCTGTACTCTTTTCTGTCTTGCTCAATTGCCAATGGTACATTACATTACGTGGTAAGGTAATGCCTATACTTATTTCGTTATTAGAGTGATCCGGTCATCTGGGATGATCAATCTCAAGGGGAGAAGGGGCTTGGGAATAAATCTATTACGTTACATCTCTGATTATTGCGTTGCTCCCTTTATCAAGTGCATACTTGGTTTAGTGGTATAATTACCGCCTGCCACGCGGTAGACCGGGGTTCGATTCCCCGAGTATGCATTTTGCTCGCATTTTGTCTAATTATGGCTGCTTTCACTCAAAAAACCGCATCTCTGTTTTCTGCTTCTCCTCTCAACTGTGACAAGGGTCACTTTTGCACCGTACACAATCTTCTCCCTAACCCTAGGGAGTGTGTTTCTCCTCGAAGATGTGTAAACACTAAATCTAGACACAGGGATGAATGCCTTTAGCCTCTGGATTGTAGGGTGTGCATCTCAATCCTTCATGAATACTTAATTCTTGGTAACGTTGAGCACATCCTGGGCAAACAAGTTTAGGGTTAATAAAAGTGAATAAACATTTTTACTCGGTCACGCGCAAACTTTTGCAAAACTGAGTATAGATAATTTTTTCATAACGGCCCAGGTATGTGCCACATTGCTTATGCTGACAAAGTGCTTATGCCAGCTTCGAACCCATGGGTTAGTTGTCACAGCTAGACGCATTAACAAGAGTGATTTCCTAACCATCGATGCACTGCTATCTAGAATAGAAATGGTATCGTAGCAGTATGCACACATAGAACTTTGTGTCCATCTACGTACAATATGAAGATGGGTAACATAATGCGTAGAAGATTGAAATAGCATATTTACTAGCTGAAAGACCACTACAAAGAAAAGCAGTTATATTCAGAGTTGAAGATTGTCTCTTGCTCAAAAGACAAAGAGTGATCTTGGAAAGGACATCACTGCCAAATGTATTGCCTCCTTGGCTCAGTTGGCAGAGCGTCTGCCTAGTAAGCAGAAGGTCGCTGGTTCGATTCCGGCAGAAGGCATATCTTTTTGCGATTGCATCGTTTATGCGTAACATTCTTTTCTGGGCATGGTTCATTGCTGGTTACTACGATGAAAAGATTTTTTAGAGAGATTATGTGAATTCCCAGTGGCCTCATACATACAACAAGCAAGTTTATAAAATGGTATCCATTTGGTTGAGAGCAAAAAGTAATGAAGAGAGTGGGATTCGAACCCACGCCTCCGAAGAGATCACGGCCTTAACGTGACGCCTTAGACCAACTCGGCCATCTCTCCATTTCTGTTCGGAAGTAGGCCAATACTCTATTATCCATTTGGCTCGTTTATTCACACAATGGAAGCAGCCGGGCTCGGTAATTTTCCCAGCATCTTTATCAAAAATCCGGGCTACGGGTTTGAGATCAACTAGTGCGCTGGCGTTGTCATGTATCCTATCTGCTAGATATTAAATGCAATCCGTTTTTGCTACTCTATTGTGCTTCGGCTAGAAAGCTCATCTGCTCAAATGTGACTCGACAGATCTACCGGCTTGAGTAAACCTCAGGTTACAGGATTTGCGCCTTGGATATAATGGTGCTAGCAAGGTGTTGATATTGCAATGTATACATTATGGTCTGTCGATTACACACGCGTCCCGTGTTTCAAATGTATTTTGGGCTTGAGACAGATAAGTCTTTACCCTATAGTAAGAGCAACTAGCCGTCTTAGCTCAGTTGGGAGAGCGTCAGACTGAAGTTCTGAAGGTCCTGCGTTCAATCCGCAGAGACGGCATTTTTAGGATAGTTTTGATCCGTGTTATCATAGGATTAGACAGGCAACCCATCGAGTTATCAAGTGACAGTAGTGATAGCAGTATACTGGCTCTTGCATTTTTTAGAGATGTATTCGATCATCTACTTTGTCTTTCTCAGGATCTGCGATGTTATAACATAACACACGGTAACTGAAGTGTAACATGCCCGGCTAGCTCAATCGGTAGAGCGTGAGACTCTTAATCTCAAGGTTGTGGGTTCGACCCCCACGTTGGGTGTTTTTGCTTTTTGCACCTCTTAGCCATATACCTTTTGGAATTGAAATATGCACACCGAACAATAGAGGAAAGCAGCATTTAGGCCTTTGTCCTAGTGATGCTCTTACGCGAAATATCTAAAATAGATATCACACCTGTTTGCAGTACGCTTCCATGCTGCTTCTTCAAAGGTGTATTGGCAGTACAGATTCCAAGCAAAACGAATACCGTATAATCGATACTGGAGGACCTGGGTATCGATCCCAGTGCCTCTCGCATGCTAAGCGAGCGCTCTACCATCTGAGCTAGACCCCCTGTGTGGGAATACCGTATTATTGCTCTCTGCTGGACATCTAAACCTTTGAGCTTCGGCGAAGAGGAGGGGCCTTTGCTTTGTTCAGGTGGAAGAACAGATTCGGGGCGGGTGAGTATAGTATCTTCCATAGGTAGTGATATAGAGTAAATGCGATGTGTTATGGAGGGCACAAAGAGCAAGTATTTGCAAAAGATTATGCAGCAGAGGGAAAAATGATGTCTTCGCTCGGATTCGAACCGAGGACCGTCTGTGTGTTAGACAGACGTGATAACCAACTACACCACGAAGACTTCGTTGATGGATAACTCAACTTGCTATATATGGTCATCAAGAAAATTTTAAAATTTGCAACGAAGTACCAAGTCTTATGAGGGAGAGTACATGTTGTAAAATGGGGTTTTATGTAGGTAGTTAACTACGTAACAAATGTAAGTGGGGGGTTGGCGCAACGGTAGCGCGTTCGCCTCCAGAGCGAAAGGTTGCGTGTTCAAATCACGCACTCCTCACTGATTTTTGTTTTGGTGGGTGTTGTATCAGTAGGACCTTGGCCAGTCCCCATATATGAAAAAAGATCGATCACTTTTTGTGTGTATGCTTCACGTAAGGATGGCCTTGATCATTTTGGTATTCTCTACACGGGGCCCTTGAGCTTGCGGCTTTCCTGCATATCATCCCAACCACTAATAAAAACATAGGACAAAAGTATTTCCCCATCGGGGAATCGAACCCCGGCCGTCTCGGTGAAAGCGAGAAATCCTAACCACTGGACCAATGAGGAAGTTATTGTTAGAAAGCAAGCAAAACTCTATATTCCCACAAGACTTTACTCCATTCAGAATGCTCACTGTATCATGTACCCATCTTCACATTGAACCTACCAATGCAGATGGGTAGCTAGTCGCAAGGTATAATCAGTGAACATAACATGAAGTCAGGTAATGGGTCAAATACTGAATTCGCCATTGTAGTATAGTGGCAGTACATCGCGTTGTGGCCGCGTCGACCTCGGTTCGATTCCGAGCAATGGCATTTTATTTTAGTGGTTGTCAGATCAGTACAGCCCACAGACTTGCATTCAAGGTGCAAATGAACCACATTTTGAAAGTGCATTACTAGATAGCGTGTGTTCTCATACAAGCACAATCTGGCATCGTTGGTAGCTTTGTGTTTCCTTTTGTTACAAGCTATTTGGCAATAATTAACGACCACTGAAAATTGACGAATTTGGAAGTTCTTTTAATCACAAAAAAATTAGTATCGAGTGACATGAACACTCTAGGTTTGCGAACCTTTCTAGTCGTAAGAAAAATATGAGATGGATGTAATGTTATGATTTAAATCCTAACTAGTCACTACCGATCACTTGAACACTACTGATCGAACACCTGGAATTGCACACAGACAATCAATCGCACTCAGTGATACACACGTTATTTAATACATCTTGAACCCTCCTTTTGGAAGCTTGCCCTACGTTATCGGAAGCTCTCCCTCCGAGGCTATCTCTATATAAACGCCTTTGAACACTATCAATAAAGCATCAACCTTTTACCGGTTCATCAACTATTCAGATAACCTCTCTGATCCGTATTGGACATCCTCCGGTCCTCCTCCGCTTGCCCTCGATTCATAACATTGGTAGCAGCGAACCTCCGATCTCCAAAAAAAAACAAAAACCTCCGTACCTCCCAGAAACTTTTCCAATCTCTCAGAAACTCTTCCGATCTCCCAGAAACTTTCCATCTCTCAGAAACTCTTCCGATCTCCCAGAAACTTTTCCAATCTCTCAGAAACTCTTCCGATCTCCAGAAACTCTCCGATCTCCCAGAAACTCGATCTCCCAGATATCTTCCAATTGTCCAGAGATACCTCGTACCTGCCGAGACCTCCACTCCCAGAGAAACCCTCCGTTTCACTCAAAAAAAAAAAAAAAACAGTACCCAGTCAATTCTGCCAGAGAACCAGCCCCCTTGGTAAACACACCCGCCTACCGCAAATCAAACAATACCCAAAAACAAAATGAGTGAAGAAAGGCCAAAATTTAGCTCTTCAGAAGAAATGTTGGCCTATATTGAGAGTCTTGAACAACAAGTTGCTGAGTTAGCCGGTCAAGGACAGTCCCACACAACTGAGCCTGCGGCCCTCCCTAGTCTGGACCCAAGAATGGGTAGGCAGACAGACTTGGACTCTTTACATTTTGTGAACACCCAGAGATCATGGTTTACTGGTCAAGGTATACAGAGAGAGGGTGAAGCCTCATCTGTAAGACCTGCGGTGCCTCCCAATTCCTTGAATCTTGGAGAAGATGGGCAAGGCTCTCTGGACTTCACAAAACAATATAGAGCAACAAATCTGAAACTTCAGAAACCCAACATCTTTGAAGGCAAAAGACACACTGCCACTCTAGAGACTTGGATATTTGAAGTAGAGCAGTACCTATACTTCTCAGATGACTCTGAAGAAGTCAAAGTACATTATGCCTGTTCACTTTTCAGAAAGGAAGCAACCATGTGGTGGAAACTTCACATTCAAGGAATGAATAGGGGCATCTTTCCACCCATAGCCTCCTGGGCTGACTTTGTTAAAGCATTGAGAAAGAGGTTTACACCTATCAATGCTGATAGAATGGCAAGAGAAAAACTGTCCAAACTCTTTCAAGCCAAGTCTGTTCAAGAGTACAATGAGCAGTTTAACTTGCTTAGTATGGAAATTCAAAACATGCCTGATACTGAACTACTTGAGCAATACCTAAGAGGCCTGAAATCCAACACTAGATGGGAAATTGAATACAAAGACCCCAAAACCCTAGTAGAGGCTATGGAACTGGCAGAAAGATATGATGCCATACACTTCAGAAGGGCTGTCAACCACAGAATTGGTCACTCAAGAACTACTACAGGCCTCAAAGCCAATAACCACATACCTATTGGTAGTCAACCAATCACTGAACAAGGTGCACACTACCCCCACACACTGGAGCCTATGGACCTAGATGTTATGCAGAGCACACCAAGACCTTCTAAAGAGGAATGCTTCAAGCTTGGACTATGCTTTTACTGCAAGGAACAGGGTCATAAAGTCAATGAATGCCCAAAGAGGCCATTACAAAGAGTATTCCAACTCTCCACTAAGGAGGAGGAGCACACAATCAGCCTTGTTAAGGAGTATCAGAGGACTCAGAGCTTATATACTACCCCAAAGATGCTGAAACTCCCAGGGATTCTCAACAACAACCAATGTGTCTCTGTACTCATTGACAGTGGAGCAACTGATGTCTACATTTCAAAAGATGTAGCTGATCAGATGAAGCTACAAACAATCCCTTGCCCCCCAATTCACATCCTCTGTGCCACCAAGGAATCAATTATAGTGAACAGCAGGACTGAACCCTTGACTTTACAAATCAGGGACTTCCAAGACACCATTTCCCCAATTATCATACCCCAAGCCAACTTTGAAATCAATGTGGGACAAACTTGGCTAAGAAAGCACAATCCTGACATAAACTGGCAGACTCAGGAAGTTGTAATCAACAAGGATGATGCAAAATATCATCTGTCACCCAAACCAACCCTGGACAAAGGCAATGCACCAGAACACACCATATCAAAGAAACAGTTTGCCCACTCTATCAGACAGAATCCCAAACTGTTGCACATGATAGCCTTTGCCAAAATCCAAGAGACCACAGAAGTGACAAATGACAGGCTCAAGACCTTGTTAGCAGAGTTTCAAGAGGTTTTTCCCAAGGAAATCCCTGCACTACCCCCAAGCAGAGAGATTGACCATGCCATAGAAGTAACAGATGATAAACCAAGAAACAGAGCCCCATATAAGTTCTCCCCAAAGGAAATGGAGACTTTGAAGGAAACATTGAAGGACTACCTGGCTAAAGGCTGGATAAAACCCAGTAAATCACCATGGGGAGCTCCAGTACTCTTTGCTCCAAAGAAGGATGGGAAGCTACGGTTCTGTGTGGACTACAGGGCCCTAAATGCAATCACTGTCAGAAATTCCTACCCATTACCAAGAATTGATGCCCTCTTTGACCAACTGGGGAAGGCAAAGATATTCTCTAAAATAGACCTGGCATCTGGATATCACCAAATCAGAATTAAGCCTGAAGACACCTCTAAGACAGCATTCAACACAAGATATGGTCATTATGAGTTTGTTGTGATGAGCTTTGGCCTGACTAATGCCCCAGCAACATTTCAGACACTCATGAATAGCATCCTGGAACCATATTTAGAGAAATTTGTCCTGGTCTACTTAGATGACATTCTGATCTATAGTACCAGCATGGATGACCACATGAAGCACTTGAAGACAGTACTGGCTATACTAAAAAAGCACAAGCTATATGCACAACTTCCTAAGTGTGAATTCCTCACCAGATCAGTTGAATACCTTGGTCACATAATCTCAGATAAAGGACTACACATGGATCCAGCCAAGATAGATGCTATCCAGAAATGGGAAGCCCCAAAGTCACTCACTGAAATGAGATCCTTCCTGGGACTTGCATCATATTACAGAAGATTCATCAGGGACTTTGCAACTATTGCAGCCCCCCTTACAGACTTGACCAAAAAAGAGAAAGACTATATATGGACCCCAAACTGTGAGACAGCTTTCCTAACTCTGAAAGAAAAGCTATGCCAAACCCCTGTGCTTCAGTTGCCTGATTTCTCAGAACCTTTCTGTGTATACACTGATGCTTCAGATCTAGCTGTTGGAGGGGTACTGACTCAAAAAGAACACCCGGTTGCTTATGAGTCCAAAAAGCTATCAGTAACTGAACAAAACTACCCAGTCCATGAAAAAGAACTCTATGCCATACTACATTGTCTGAGAGTGTGGAGATGCTACTTGGAGGGCAAACACTTTGTGGTATATACAGATCATGCATCCCTAAGATACATTCACACCCAGAAGCTATTATCCAGAAGAATAACTAGATGGATTGAAGAACTACAACAATTTGATTTTAAAATCCACTACCTCCCTGGGCCAAAGAATACAGTTGCTGATGCACTCTCAAGGCAACATATATCAATGGTAGATCATGAGTTGGACTGGCCAGAATACATGCCAGAGTACTTGGCAAGTCAGACAATGCCAGAAGATTTATCACAGGAAGTAAGGGTCAAGATTAAGAAAGAAGCAGAGAATTTCTCATATGGTGAAGACGAGGTACTTTACAGACACATGGAAGAAATAGGGCCTGTACCATATATTCCATTTGTATACAGAGGTGACATGATAATCAAGAATCATAAAGCCTTTGGACATCTGGGCATCCAAGGAACTTATGAAATAACTAAAAGGAGAGCCTGGTGGCCTAAACTCAAACAATTTATAGCTGAGACCCTCAAGACCTGCCCTGAGTGCCAGCTGGCTAGACCATACAACAAGGAACATGCCCCATTAGAACCACTGACTCCAGTTCCAGCATTCTACAGATGGGGAATTGACTTCATTGGAATATTGCCTGAAACTTCAAGAGGGAACAAGTGGATCATAACTGCAATTGACCATACCACTAAGTGGTGTATAGCAAAAGCCATGCCAGCAGCTACTGCAAAAAATGTTGCAAAATTCCTTTACCTGGAAATCTTTATGCAGTTTGGATGCCCAGGTGAAATTCTGTCTGACAGAGGAGCAAACTTTTTGGAACAAACCTTGAAAGAATACCTTCAGATAATGGGGGTTAGACATTTGAAGACATCAGCATACCACCCTAGAACAAATGGGGTCACAGAGAGGTTCAATGGACTCTTTGGGAAGATGCTGACTACTTATGTCAAAGGAGCCAAACATAAGTGGGATGAATTTGTACATCAAGCACTCTTTGCCTGTCGTATTAGAGTCCATTCAGCAACACAAAAGTCCCCCTTCTACCTAGTGTATGGTACACATCCAAGAATCCCAGGTGATACCTTACCACCATACATCTGGGACTTAAAGAACCAAAAAGACTTGGCAGAATTCAGAACAAGGGAACTGGAAGAATTAGGACATGCAAGACATGATGCCATCAAGAATTTAAAACGACAAGCAGAGAAGATGAAAGAACAGTACAACAAAACAGTGGTAACAAAACCCTTAACTTTGGGAAAACTTGTATTAGTCCGAAATGAAAGTAGGCTAAAACTAGAACCACATTGGGTTGGACCCTTTATTATCACAAGAGAAATGCCCTTCAATACATTTCAACTCGCAGACATGTCAGGTAAAGTAAAGGAGGACCTAGTGCATAGAGACCGACTAAAGGAAGCACAGCTAAAAAACCCAATGACACCACCAACCAAATACTGGTATTACAAGTCCGATAGACAGGACTCTTCAGGAGAAGAACCTCTTTAAGTGTGGGAGTATGTTATGATTTAAATCCTAACTAGTCACTACCGATCACTTGAACACTACTGATCGAACACCTGGAATTCCACACAGACGATCAATCGCACTCAGTGATACACACGTTATTTAATACATCTTGAACCCTCCTTTTGGAAGCTTGCCCTACGTTATCGGAAGCTCTCCCTCCGAGGCTATCTCTATATAAACTCCTTTGAACACTATCAATAAAGCATCAACCTTTTACCGGTTCATCAACTATTCAGATAACCTCTCTGATTCGTATTGGACATCCTCCGGTCCTCCTCCGCTTGCCCTCGATTCATAACAACGTAAGCGTTGCCTCCTTGGCTCAGTTGGCAGAGCGTCTGCCTAGTAAGCAGAAGGTCGCTGGTTCGATTCCGGCAGAAGGCAAATATTTTTTTTGGAGCAAATCCCAAAGTTTTTTATTCCTGGGTTTACAATGATGATGGCCGCCGGGTTTGTGTTTGTAGGTGGCAAGGCTTTCCCCTATGTTAAATTTCATTACTTTGCTTCAGAAAAATGCAGTAGAAACTTCTTGTGCCGAATACTTCTACCCTCAGGCTTATTACTCCATCCCCCTTTCTCTATCACTCTTATTAAAAGAAAATTTCAACCAAGACTGGTTGAAAAGGAATGAAGAGAGTGGGATTCGAACCCACGCCTCCGAAGAGATCACGGCCTTAACGTGACGCCTTAGACCAACTCGGCCATCTCTCCATTTACACAATTCTTGGTTGATTTGTATACTAGATTCTTGTTGAATGCCCTAGCCACATCATCTATCTCGTTTTCGGTATATCATTCAAGAAGCATCATTCCTTTACTATACCGTATCAGATTTAGATGTATTCGACTTGGGAGAATGAAGCGAATTTTGCCCTGCATTGTGGGGCACCGGTGTGCTTCTTGCTACGTCAGGGCTGAACTAACTAGTAAGCTTGTTTTTCAATAAGTGGATATGTTGATGAAAGTATTTCTATTCTGGCACACTAGTTACCGAACATAGCTCAGTTGGTAGAGCGGAAGACTGTAGTGTTACATAGCAATCTTTAGGTCCCTGGTTCAAATCCGGGTGTTCGGAATTTTTTTCTGTCGTCAATGCTGATCGTACTAAAGGGCAAGGGAGTTTAACAATGCTTTTCTTTTTCCCTACATCTTGGAAGTTCACCATCTTCTCTGGTGGATCGCAGACAATAATGATAGCCCTTCGGTCCAAGGCTGTGGTGGGGTATTATTTCCCTGGCAATTTCGGACATTGAAATAATCGATTCAATGAAATCTCTGGGAAAATGTTGCCCCCTAACTAAGATTCAGCAAAAAGAACGCTCCTGGGTGGGCTTGAACCACCAACCTCCTGATTAACAGTCAGACGCGCTAGCCAATTGCGCCACAAGAGCTTCTAACAATCGCTCTGGATTAAACACACAGCTTATGTCAAACTAAATGGATATCTATGTAGAAGACTCCTATTATGTCATGATGGTTAGCTTCAGATCAGTGGTCTTGTGCTTATATTGAGCTGGCTCACAAATAAATATATAGGACAAGAAGTATTTCTATTTACTTTAGAACTATAGTCTAGTTTACTGTCTCTGAAATATGTAAGCCCGGCTAGCTCAATCGGTAGAGCGTGAGACTCTTAATCTCAAGGTTGTGGGTTCGACCCCCACGTTGGGTGATAACTTTTCATCTTTTTCACACTAGAGCAATAATCAGAAGCCATGCATGACATTGGCTGGTTGGTATATATGGTGTACTCTCGCTACTGAGCAGGGTCGCATATTTGCATGCGCAACACTCTTCTAGAGGTATAGCTCAGTGGTAGAGCAATTCGCTGCAGATCGATAGGTTGGTGGTTCAAATCCGTGTGCAATCTTTTTCCAGATGGTTGGTTGGGCAAGTAAAAAGATCAGGTATCGAATGGGTGTGTCCCCCTCTACCAGTCAGGCCAGCTTGCTACTGTGCTTAATGAGTGGCATAAAAAGACCCTTGAATATTGACCATCCAGTCAAATCAAAATGGAGGACCTGGGTATCGATCCCAGTGCCTCTCGCATGCTAAGCGAGCGCTCTACCATCTGAGCTAGACCCCCATTATGTGAGTCTCCGGAATTTTGTATTTATAACATTTTTTATACCTTCCAAATGCCATCGTCTAATTGTAGTAAGTATTCGTGCAAAATATGCCTTCATCAGCTATGGATGTACCCTGTGCCTCTATTTGGTTCAACCACCCTATCACCCGACGCTTGTATATCATGGACTGTGCTGCAACGGATACATTAGTTGAGTCCGTCTCCAATCCTACTCGTTCAAAGGGAGAATAATTTAGCCTCTCCACCAACACGTCACTGGCCATGTCGATTATGCATCAATTCTTGACTTACAGGTTGAACACTCTGAACTAGCCAAGCCCTTGGTCTGGGCTAGCCAAAATAATGAAATATTTACTCAACATATGTATCCTTGGCTCAATGGTTTAGTGGTATAATTCTCCCTTAGGGTGGGAGAGGTCCCGGGTTCAATTCCCGGTTGAGCCCCTTTCTTTTGCTTCGCAGCCATCAATTGTTTATGATAGCCTGCACTCTGGAGTGTGTGTCGAAACATCCACCCTCCTATATGGCTCTGGCCTTGGTTCGTTACCATCTTCACATTAAGGATATTCCAAACAATCCCATCCCATCTCACTACTCTACCATAGGCCATCTGCCAATTTAATCCGATTCAAGGGCTATCCAATATACATATGTGCTAATAATTCCATGATTTCACGCTTTCTAAGGTCAATCTTCGATCCAATGCAAAACTACACACATGTGGTCCACACCACAGTTCTACATACGAAACTATGAATAAAAATTCAAAAAGCGTTGATAATTTAAACCGCTTCCCATGCAACATTGGTAAGTATAAATAAAGTCGCCATGTCACCGGAGATCCTTACAATCCTCTCAGGCCTTTTGGCTAAGATCAAGTGTAGTATCTGTTCTTTTCAGCTTAATATCTGAAACACTGGACATAGTCCAGTTCGATATTAAACTTATTTTTGAACATCGGGTGATAAGTCCCTGCTTGCACACTTGTCTGCCCACAGGTGTCCCTAGTATTGCACTACCTCTAGGTGACGCCGAGCCCTTTTGGGGCTTCACTAGCACTATTCTTCTCTTCAAAACAATCAAAGAAACAACAATCAGACAACCATATTAATCCCCTTGACAATGCTAATAGAAACGCCTGCTCTATATGGACTCATTATGGTCGTCGCACTTGTCCCTTGAGCATGGTTCGGTGATAGCAACCCTTCTTCTGCACCACCCACTCAATATCTCTGTCTGTTTACTATGGGTGTAAATTCAGGTCGAATCAATGTAGGATGTGTACCGTGAGATCACTCCAGGTGCCACTCTGGAGGAGTGGTTCGCTGTTGCCAACCATCACCACCGGTACTACGATACTATACAGCGGTAATAATAATAATAATGCTACTTTGAGTATAGTCACTGGGGTAGCACGCTTGCTGGTGAAAAAAGTTATGTCTTCGCTCGGATTCGAACCGAGGACCGTCTGTGTGTTAGACAGACGTGATAACCAACTACACCACGAAGACATTGTTGGATAGGGTTAGCATTAATGGTATATGATTCAACAATAATTCTTGTTTTACCGTTCTGTTGGGGAATATTGGCAATATCCATTATGATTGAGTTACAAGGGGCTGGAAGAAAGGGGTATGCACTTTGGCGTCCCAGGAAAAATATAGCCGTTATGTTTACTTGATACTGAATGTATATCAATGCAGATACAGAAGGAATATAAAATGTGACCAAATACCATGGACTTCAAATACATTTCGGAGTAATTTACAGCTCAGCGTTTATGGTATTTACGGCTAAGGCAGATTTATACGTATAGTCAGCAGTGAGGCTGTCTACCTAACTCTTCTTTGCTCTCGGAGCCGTGGTGGCCAGTATATGATCATATAGAGCAAGGTTGGGAAGAAATAACACCTCCTCGCACACCCTTGGCTAGGTATGTTGCCATTGAACATGGACAAACACTTGAAGGCTATTTTGATTATTGGCCTCTGGGTCAGTTAGAATCAGTTCCTGCATATATAGCTGAGTATGTACCCTATCATACCCCCATTGTGAAAGTATGTGCTTATCACCTTGCTGGAGGGCAAGTCATAAAGCAGGGCCTTACCATGCAAGAGCCTTCTGTGTCCTATCTGATGGACACTGATGGATTGACCACGCAAGCATATTGGACTAATTCCTATGAAGGTTCTTACCCATTATTTGGGTGTTATACGTTTGAGCAATCTTGTGGGCAATATTGGCTCTGGTGGCCAGATACTGGAAGGCAAATAGCACTTGGGCTCATCAGACTACATGAGGCAAAACAACAGCTTACAGTTCATTTAGATGGGCTACCAGCAGTGTTGGCTACGCACCCGTGGGCTTTGAAGGGCTTGGCAACTGATGAATACATGGGTGTTGGGATGTCTCAGACTAGATTTAGGACAGCTCTTGAAAACCCTAGGTGTGTTACTGAGTAGCTGTATTGTTGGATTGTGTAACTACAACTTGTGTATTGCTATAGCTGATAAGCACTGAATCTGTCTTAAAACACCAACCTCAACCAGGCTTTTACTTAACTGAGAATTCTATAGTGGACAATAATAATATGCATAAAAAATGTAGGCAATGCAGTTTTCTTTTGGAGGTTGGAGACAGCTCATCAGTTGCAAATATGCTGCCTAATGTCTAATTAAATACATACTTGGTAATAGCTCTTTGTAACTGTTATATTGACTTTCATCAACCTTGACTTACTTTCTTACTGTAAACTTCAACTCTTATTGAAATGAGGCTCCCAATGTTAAAGCACATCAAAATAGTTCCTGGCTTTTCCCACAGCCCTCTGGAGCTCTCTTGAGTGTTGAAAATTTGTAGTTGCACCTAGGTATTTCCTTAGCTTAGTCACATGGAACACAGTCAACATATATTAGAGAATTCTTATCAAATTTCCTTTTGGGATTTACTTGCATAGTTATGACTAAGATTTTAGACACCCAGAACATGAAAAAATGCTCAGGTGCTCAAACAGCCCCTCATATTGCATAGATGCTTTGGGACTTTCCTAATCATATTCTACATGTTTTCTTACCAAAATCATGTAAATGTATAAATTGTTGTAAAAGTTTGTAATTCCACCTAAATATTCACCTAACTTGGTCACCTAGATCATTACCTTCAAGTCCTAGAGAATACTGACCAAATTCCTTGTTGGGATTTAATTAGAATATTTTCACCAACATACTAGATACCCAGAACATGAAAATTCTCAAAGTTGTCCTAACAGCCCCAAGCTTTGCACACATGCTCTTGGGACCTTCCTAAGCCTATTTTATGTGTTTGGTATGCCAAGACCTTGTAAAAGTATAAATACTACTTTTACATTGAATATATCATTTAGTGAAAACCACATAATCTACTTGTTCTTCCAATCACTTCCAGTATCTCCAAGACTCTTACAACAGGTCATGAGCCCCAAGCTGCCACTTTTTGCAATGTCTACTACTGCTATTACTGGAACCTTTTTCTCTGCTGAAAAGTTGGATGGATCTAACTACTAAGTGTGGAAGGTGAAGATGAAGATTCTGCTACAAGAAAGAGGCCTTTGGGATTTTGTCATGGGAGAAGAATGCCATCATTAAGACATGGGAGAGGAAGCCTTAAAGTACTAGAAGAAAGAACAAAGTGCCTTCAACTGCATTTGCCTTAATGTTAAAGACAAATTGCTAATTCAATGCTCAAGAGCAAAAACAGCAAAGAATGCCTGGAAGGCATCAGAAGACACCTACCAGTCATGTTCAGCCGCTAAGAAAATGTATCTGAGACAAAAACTCTTTACTACAAAGATGCAGCCAAGAGAAGAAATGGAAAATCCAATTAACAGAGTTACCCTGCTGGTAGATGAGATGGAATCTGTGGGCATACCAACTACTGATGAGGATATGATAGTAATCATCCTGAATAGCCTGACAGACAAGCTTTAGGGCCTTGTATCAGCCCTAGAGTCCAGAACTGAAGATTTGATCTTAAATCATGTAAATGGAAGGCTCCTGGATGAAGAATTAAGGAAATCAAGTGCCAACAAGAAGGAAGAAGAAAATGCTTTAATAAGCAATGATAACCAACAAAGAAGGTACCTAAGACCTTACAAAGGCAACAGCAACCTGTTTTGCAACTACTGCAAATGTAAAGGACACACATCAGACCGGTGTCTCACAAAGAGAGATAATCAGCAAAAGAAGCCTGCTTATGGAAATGCTGCAATAACTGAAGATAGACTATTCATAACTGAACTGAGGATGACCACATAAGAGGATTCTCAGACACAGTACATTGACCCTGGAGCATCTCAACACTTTACACACCAAAAAGAACTTTTTACTCAACATCAAGAAATTCCAATTAAGAAGGTTTTCATGGGTGACAATAGAACACTTGATGCAGTGGGAGAAGGAACTATCCAAGTAAACCTTAGAAGCAGTGAAGGAAGCCATACACTGACCTTCAAAGAAGTACTCTATATACCAGAAATAGCCAAGAACCTACTATCTCTAAGCAAGGCCACAGCAGAAGGACTCAGTTTCAGCTTTGACAATTCTGGATGCAAGATCACTGATCAAAATGGTGCCCATATTGCTTTGGGTATCAGAGATCAGAATATATATAAGTTGACTTATATTCCATCATATCTAAAAGCCAATATAAGTAACTTAAATGAAGAAGCACCAATGCTTTGGCACAGGAGATATGGGCACATCAATTTTGATTATTTGCGCAAAATTTTCAAAGATCAGCTAATTTCCGGAGTAAAAACTGATCCCCCAGCTAATTTGAAGCACAGCAAAGCCTGTATATATGGGAAACAAGCCAGGCAATTGTTCAAGAGCTCTGGGTTAATCAAAACTAAGAAAAAATTAGATCTAATTCACTCAGATCTGTGTGGACCTATGCAAAATTTAGGCAGGATGAAGTATTTAGTCACTTTTATTGATGATTATACAAGATACACATGGGTCTACTTCATGGAGAGAAAGGAAGAAGCTCTGTCTAAGCTCAGGGAGTTTAAAGCCATGGTGGAGAGAGAAACTGGTGAAAAAATCAAGAAAATATGCTCTGATAATAGTGGAGAATATACCTCAAAACTCTTCATCCACTTCTGCAAAATTCATGGGATAAAGCAAGAGACTGCTGTACCATACTTCCCACAGCAAAATGGAGTAGCAGAACATGCAAACAGATCAATAATTGATATTGCAAGATCTATGATTCATGATCAAAAAATTATCTGATGATTTTTGGGTAGAATCAGTTGCCACAGCTGTATACCTTAAAAATAGGCGTTATAACAGAATACTTTGTGCTTCTACTCCATTTGAAGCATGGCATGGATACAGACCAAGTGCAGAGCATCTAAGAATATTTGGGTGTACAGCATATGCCAAGATACTGATTGGAAATCAGTC